AAGGTGGTGACTGTGTGATGGGGTGGGTGATTATCAAATAGGGACCTCCATTCAAAATTGGTGCATATCTGGAGGTCATGGAAGGGAGGGTTTAGAAGCACGAGTTCCAGTTCATCACGGCAACTCATAGATGAGAGAAGGAGGAATTCTAGTCCATCTTGTTTTTTTTCAACCAACATTTGTTTTTTTTTCGTGTAGCCAGTGCACTCAACAAATTTTTTTTGTAACAAATAAAAAGGGACTCTGCAATAAAGTGTGATGTAGGTAGGAGCTGTAGAGGAAAGGTCGCGAATCCCCCAACCACTGTTTGCTAGCCAATAGACGGGTCCCGACAGATCTACTCCTCGCGGTATCTGATGGTCCTCAACTGATCAATAGTTTGAGTGACATCTACTTGATATTACCCCGGTAAAATACCACGAAATCATTACAAAATGGCGCCCAACGTGGGGCGCTAACGGTTATTGACAATTAATTTTTGGAAAATTGAAAATTAGATTTTTTCCCCAAACGGTTAACCCATTCCTGCCTAATGGGTATTTAAATACCCAATAAAGTGGTGTCACTAAATAAATTCTAGCTCGGGCTAGGAAAGAGATATCGAAGTTATATTTTTTTTTAATTGAAGAGGAAGAATGGGCCTTAAAAAATAAAATTATGTCAGTATATTGTTTTCCTTAAAAACTTTTTTTTTTAAGCCAAAAATCGAGGTTTTTTTTTATCGGAAAATGCTTAGGAAAAGCGCTCCCAAATATAGGGAAATGGGAAAAACGAAAAAAGCTCACCTTACCAGATAGCTTCAGGTGTCTTTCATGCAATGAAAAAACGCTATAGAGATATCTCAACACACCTGGCCGTTACACCTGGATAAATGAAAATGGGTATTTAAATACCCGACAGTCCAATGTGTGTACACAAAGTCTTTTTTTTCCTATATGGAAACATTTAATTTGCAGTGAATAAAACGCATAATTAAATAGGATTTTTTTTTTATTTTACTGAGAAATTATTATATTTATAAGAAATAGATTACTTAGCCTTGGCAATCTTTTTCTTATCTGGTTCAACGCCGTTGTGGTAATCCAGAAAGCAAGGAGCGGGATGCAAGTTCACTTGGCACTTCAAGCAACCATATTCAGTTTTGCCACCGCACTGCGGACAACGATGACGAGTATTAAGTTTTCCGATGAAATGATCCATACGGTCGTAACGCATTGCCAGTTGTGCCCCGGAAGCCGACGTTCTACCCGGATGATGATAACTGGACTTGATCATAATCGATTCACACACCTCCACTCGAAATTCATATTGAGACATCGGTGGCTTCTTGTCATACTTGCGACAGAAGCAATGTAACTTCCATGCATTTACCATAGCCGCGTCAAACGCATTTGTTATTAATGGCCAATACCACTTTTTTCCCCGAAACCGAATTCGATAATTATTCACTGCATTGTCAAAAAGGTCCACACCTCCCATAAGATGATTGTATTCGTTGACCAAATACGGCTGCTCAATAGTAACCATTTTCCGTTGCTTTCGATCATACCGTTTCGCGCGGACCATTGGTGTATGGCTTAGGAAATTCGATAATAAGGTCACGACCTGAAAAGATAAGAATGAATGAAGATGTGTTCATCAACGATGGACGTAAAGATCAAAATGAACCGATAGTCAAATTGAAATGTTTCTTTGCACATATAACTTACCGCATTATCATTCCAACGCACCGCCAAAATAGAATTGTTCGTGTCGAAACGAAAGTCAGACGTCCCGCGAGGTATCTTTTTCATTTCCTTGATGTCCATTAATGGGGCATGATTGGTCCGATTATCACGAACAGTTCCCAAAGCGAAGAATCCATCGTTCGACAAACGAGTCATAAGTTTGTGACTTGTAAAAAAGTTGTTAAACGTAACCGTGTGCTTGGCGCGGGCCTCCAGATGTGAAAGAAGTGATAGCACAACACGTTCTCCCAGTCCGAAACCTGGGTCCTCCTGTTCTGATGCACCAGCGTATGGAAGTAGTTAATACAAGTAGCCTTCTGACGAAGCCAAACACCAATACTTGTACCCGAAACGAATTGGTTTTCCCTTGATGAACATTTTGCACGAATGTCGGCCGTAGTAGGCAATCATTTGTTCATCAATGGAAAGGTTGTGAGAGAAAACACCAAATTGAAGAAATTTTTTGTTTAATAAGTCATTCAATGGTGCGACTTTTGCAAATTTGTTTTTCATATCCAATGCTGAGTTGTCACACACGTGAAAGAACTGTTTGATTCGTTTGAATCTGTCTCTTGAAATACATTATTTTATTAGCGCGCATCCTAATGATTCCCGATTTGACCAATAACTATGTATTTGCGGCAATGTATGGTAACCGGTTATATACAACACGCCCAAAAACGTTTTCATTTCGCTAATTGATGTTATGAACGAAGGACAATTTTTGGTCGCAGCATATTGGTTGGTTGAAGTAACCAACAGGTTCAACACCTCCTCATCGATGAACATTTCCCAAAGCTGCACTGGATTCATGTCACCAATTTTCTCATACAACGCTTTGTGTGAAGTGGCCGAATCATCGAATGGAATCT